AATTCAACCCTTATTGCTCGCAAGCAGTTCCCATGCTGTTATACTGATGTCTTTGAGCTTAATTATGTCTTGTTTATGCTTAAAATGTTTGTTTGAAAATGCTCATTCTGAATCACTATGTTATCTCTATCATTATCGACATTCAAATATCATTATGTTTCATGAATACTCAGCATTTCTGTCTCCTAACGAAGCTTTTTAGTCTTGTAAACACAAAAACTCTCTTCATACATACAACTGTCACGTTGTTGTTTTTTCACCACGAACTCGCCAGGTGACCACATATATCTGAATTTGTGTTAATTCAAATTCTTTCGTGTTTTCCATTATGAAATATTTCAAAACGAAGTTTATTAATAACAGTTTCTGAGCAGTCGACACAGGCCGCTCGCCCTCACGGGCAGGCTCCTCGATGGGCGCCTCTGCCTTGCTTGTCTTCTGTAGTCCAGCTACCAAACTCTCACGGTAAAATTATTATAAATCTGCGACGACTTTAACTACAACACTCTCAAGAATCAAAGAGGAACGCGAACTCACCAGACACCACCTGTTAACGAAGCACTCCGCGGACTTCTCCCGGATGATCGATCGTACAAGCATTTGGTGACAGAAAGTGATCGTAACTTTACCCTCCCTAGAACAAGAATCAGCAAAACTAGCAACACACAAAGAGTTTGAAGCTGAATTAGGCGAGTCTTCCTACCCCGACACCAGTGTCTCTCGCACATAACAGGCTTATTGTCCTAACAACTGTAAGTTCTCCGTCGTCACGCCATGCCCGGAAAAAAACCTTATTTTCGTATTTACTCGACCTTCTCAAGGGTGCATTCTGTGTAAAATTCACGCCGGAGGTACGCCAATAGCTCATCGAGTGTACACCAACGTTCCCGATAAGAGTAATTTTTCATAAAGTACGACGCCAAGTGCAATCACATTGTCAAACAAACTCCAAGACACGACACGGCGGCACTTTTGAAAACTATGGAAGTGATAAAAAAACAGCCGCAAGGAGTGTAGGGGAGGGGGCGTAAATAAAACAAACGACTATGTATAAGTGTACATACGTTCAACTTAAAAGCTTGAAAAAGCAGTAAAGATAAAAAAGCATGCGCCAAGATTTTTTCATTTCATTACGCCAATACGACAAGGAATATAATTTAGGCTAAATACACGCCGCCACGCCGACAGGAGTGGCGGCGGAGATCTTCGGGCCTAAGTGCTTGAAATACACCCTGGGACCCTCTTTGGCTATTCAAAAAAACAAAACAAAAAACTTTTTACTACAGGCTAATTATCATTATTTTCCACATTCCTACCATTACTATTATCATTTTTATTATAGCCATAGTTAGTCACCATCATCATAACCAATGTCATTACTGACATCACGTTTTAGGATGAATTTTGTCATATTGATAAGACTTTATAAAACATAGTTACTCAAGAATATAATTTTACTTCAACCCAACTGTTAGTTAAACAGAACCAAAAAAAACTAACGCAGGTTAGTTACACAGGCCAATCGCCGGTAAAGGCGCTTAACGTACGCGCGCGCGCGCGCGCGCGTATGTGTGTGTGTGTGTGTGTGTGTGTGTGTGTACATACCTATACATGTATGTATATCTATCTATCTATAGATCTATGTAAGTATGAGAGAGAGAGGGAGGGAGAGGGAGGGAGGGAGGGAGAGAGAGAGAGAGAGAGAGAGAGAGAGAGAGAGAGAGAGAGAGAGAGAGAGGGAGAGAGAGAGGGAGAGGGAGAGGGAGAGGGAGAGAGGGAGAGAGAGAGGGAGAGAAGGAGAGAGAGAGAGAGAGAGAGAGAGAGAGAGAGGGAGGGAGGGAGGGAGGGGAGAGAGAGAGAGGGAGGGAGGGAGGAGGGGGAGAGAGGGAGGGAGGGAGGGAGGGAGGGAGAGAGAGAGAGAGAGAGAGAGAGAGAGAGAGGAGAGAGAGAGAGAGAGAGAGAGAGAGAGAGAGAGAGAGGGAGGGAGAGGGAGAGAGAGAGACAGAGAGAGAGAGAGAAAGACAGAGACAGAGAGAGAGAGAGAGACAAACAGCCATAGAGAGACTAGAGATAGAAAGAGAGACTAGAGACAGACAGACAGACAGAGAGGAGACAAACAGAGAAAGAGTGACTAGAGAGAGACTAGAGGGAGAAAGAGAGACAAGAGAGAGAGAGAGAGAGAGATAAGAGAGACAAGAGAGAGAAAGAGAGGGAAAGAGAGACAAAGAGGGAAAGAGAGACAAGAGAGAGAAAGAGAGACAAGAGAGAGAAAAGGAGACAAGAGAAAAGTAGCATATATGCTGAAAATATAAGAGTTTTGAGACGTTTTTTAACATTTGCATATGTGTACTGCCTTCACTCTTGACTGCCCCACTAATCAACACACGTCAAAGTCACTCCCAGAAAACGTAGTGTGTATAGCCAGAAGCCTAAGTTGCGACAATAGTTACTATGCTTATAATGTAGTCATTAAAATTAAATAATCAACTTCTGTACTCACCAGTTTAAAAGGACGGGACGATTTCTAATTTGTAGTTCAGTGTCGTCTATTGCAATGATGATACATCCTGCAGATCACTGGTATTTCAATAAGTTTCCATAGCAAAGGTTTAGTTTCAGTTCTATGAAAACTGGTGGAGCACAACATGATATTAAACACTGACTAAAAAAAACGACTGCACGGGTAAAAAATCGCACTGCAAGAATACTTTTTCACTCTCTCATATATATATTTCATAATTTTGATCTTGTATTATCATCTTCCATTGGACACACCTCCGGCGCAGAGAAGAATAAGATAACTAATAGAAAAATGATGATAGAAAAAAGGAAATGCTGGCGATATAATGTTAATGATGGTGGTGGTAGTGTTCGAAGCTTCATGTTGAGGATGAGGATGGTGGTGGTGGTGTTGTGGTGTGGTGGTGGTGACAGTGGTGGAGACGATGATAAGGGTGGTGGTGGTGGTGGCGATGATGTTGCTATTGTGGTTGTGGTGGTGGAGACGGAAGTGGAGCTAATAATAACGAAATATTATATTTGGTTACACATATTATCAGCAGTTTACCGTAAAGCTGAACGGAAAATACACCACCACAAATAGACTTTTGTTTCCTTATGATTTTCGCCTCTACGTGTAATACAAAACAGACACGATGCTTGTGCACAGCATCCACTATGTAAACACTTCTCCGGGATGTAAAATGCCTGGCAAAAAAAGTGCGATTATTTACAAATATCAATCGTTATCTCTCTCTTCTTTTTTTTAATCACAGAACTGAAATCTCGGAATCCATGGCCGTTCTCCATCCCTCTCTGCGTCTGCCAGTTCTTTCCCCTTTCCGCGCTCCTCTTGTTCAGCGGAGATCAATACAGGGACCGAAGTGGAGCGGCATCGTCAGTCAACCTCCCAGATATGGTCTTGCCTCCCCCTGTCCTCGCCAGGGTTTTGGGGAGCATTTGTACAAGCCCTCCTTCAGGCCCTCGCTGGCTGGGGGCCGGCGCGCGCTCACCACGTCCTTCCCTCACAAGATCGAGACAGTGACTGGCTGGCAGCGTCGGGCCGGCCGCCGGCGTCTCTCCCCGGGTACCCGCTGGAGGGGAGGGGAAGGGAGAGGGGACGAGGAAAACGTGCCTAGTTAGCGAACAAGTATAGTGAAGCAGAGGCAAAGGGTAAAAAGGAAAAAGTTATCCCCCTTTCAACTAATCCTGCATAGAATCCTGTAGCAATTCCCCCACCCCCTCGTGCAACCGTCCTCCCTGGTCCTTTCCCTCAACCCCCGCGACCCTCTGCTGCACAAACCGCGACTACCTCGGACGACGTGAAAAAAACTGCATAATGTGATCGAAGGACGAGGAGAGAACGGACCAGTATTACAGAAATTCAGTTGAGTTAAATCCATCTGAAAATGTATAGGGCTCATAATTCGTACAACTACCGCCATCGCCATTACTACTAGATTTATTATTATTATGACTGATATTATTATGATGATTATTATTATTATTTTATTATTAATATTATTACTATTATTTTATTATTATTATTATTACTATTATTGTTGTTATTATTCTTATTACCATTATCATTACTATTACTACTATAATTATTATTATCATTACTACTATCATTATCAAAACTAGATAATATTATTATTCTTAGTAGTAGTATCAGTATTATTGTACTCATTATCATCATGATCATCGGCGTCGTTGTACCACCCTGCCTCTGCAGTCTCTCTTTCCTTCCTCTAGACACGCCCCTTGAGGTGATTGCCTCCCTCCCCATGCGTAAAGATAAGTCCGATATGCGAAGCTGAGCCTCGCCCGGGCTATGAGAGGAGCCCGGCCTGTGTCGACTAATGTCGACTCGCTAACAGTGTATCAGTTGGTGCTGACTCGGCTTAGTCCTTACCCGCCGTCGTGCCCAGCCACAGCAGTAACTTCCAGGTGACAATTGCAACTTCTCACGCTTGGGCGGGGCGCGAACTGCCGACTCCTCGGATAAAAGGCCGACACGTTACCACTTTACTATCTCGGAGGTTCCCCAATGCTCTCTCTGGTTAATTCGCGTCCGGCTTCGCTGACTTGTCCCGCTTGCCCCCCCCCAACCCCACCCCCATCGGATCCCCTTTAATTCCAGATGTGAGATTCGAACCCCTATTCGCGCGGTGCAGATAGATCGGTCTGGCTACAGTCAATTTAACTTAACTGTATCGGATATACGAGTTATTTCCACCTTGCACTATCGTGTGGATGCTCTACATATTAAGATTTCCTCCCTTGACCACATAGTAGCAGTCGACTTGGCATAATAACAGAGTCAGTTGTTGGATGCTTGCGCCACCCTCCGCCGCCCCTTGTTATGTAAGAAGAGATAAGGACACAGTTACTAACTGATAGAAAGAGATAGCAGTGTGTAGATAGGTTCGGGGGAAGGAAGAGGAGAAGGGAAAGAGAAGCTCAAAGAAAAGTTATGAAAGAGAGGCTCAAAGAAAAGTAATGATATCTGTAGTATTACAGATATAGTGACTTGTTCTCTTTGGTTTAAATTCATAAAATTCAATGCATATTGTGAATCGATATTATTATTGAAATGTGTATGTTTCATCAATACAATTGTCTCCTCATGAAGCTTTTGTCCTGTAAACATCGTAACTTTTCTCACATCCTCCAGTACATAAGGTATCCCTAGTAACTTCTCCAAGATACCACCATGTGACCAGTAACATACATACATACATACTTACATACATACACACACACACACGCACACACACACACACACACACACACACACATACACACACACACACACATATATATATATATATATATATATATATATATATATATATATATATATATATATGTGTGTGTGTGTGTGTGTGTGTGTGTATGTATATATAGATATATGCATGTATGTATGTATGTATATGGAGAGAGTGAGAGAATCAGCGACATCTTTAACCCTTTACCTGACGCGATGGTATATATACCATCAACCTTTTTCGCTGCTAAATTGTTTCGATGGTATATATACCATCGAAACTTCCATGGCTTATTATGCAGTTATGGCAAGTTATAAGCTTGCTGCGATGGTATAGCCACATAGACAATGTTCAATTCTAATATGCAAGACCTATCTTATGATCAAAATTTCATTTGATATCGAGATATTCAACAAAATGTTATGCAATAAATGCTGTACAACAACTCCCCTAGTCTCGGCCTTCACATCTCTACTCCATTTACTTATCTGGGCTGCCATTCAAATTCACTCGTGATAATCGCCTCAGGTCTGTGATCTACCGACAAAATATGCCGTGTTTCCTTTAGATGGAAACTTATTCACATGTACTGTATGTGTGTGTATGTATGTATGTGTATATATATGTGTATGTATATATGTATATATATATATACATATATATATATATATATATATATATATATATATATATATATATATATATATATGTATATATATATATATATATATATATATATATATATATATATATGTATATATATGTATATGTATATATATATATATATATATATATATATATATATATATATATACATACATATACTTATATATACACATACATACATACACACACACACACACACACACACACACACACACACACACACACACACACACACACACACACACACATATATATATATATATATATATATATATATATATATATGTATATATATGTATATATATATATATATATATATATATATATATATATATATATATATACATATATATATATATGTGTGTGTGTGTGTGTGTGTGTATAAGTATATGTTTGGATATATCTTTCTTTGTCTTTTTTTTTTTATAAATAACAGTATCATTGTAAATTATCAGATGTAAGAGTACAGATAATTTCTCGAAGGTGCGATTGCACATAAACTTTTTCAAACCAAGTTTTATATTTCTTCAATGTTCTGTTTGTATTGTATATGCAAAATACATATATATCTATATATATGGATATATATGATATATATGTATGTGTATATATATAAATGTGTATATATACATATATATGTATATATACATATATGTATATATATATGTATATATATATATATATATATGTATATATATATACATATATATATATATATATATATATATATATATATATATATATATATATAACACACACACACACACACACACACACACACACACACACACATGTATATATATGTGTGTGTGTGTGTGTGTGTGTGTGTATATATGTGTGTGTGTGTGTGTGTGTGTGTGTGTGTATGTACATATGTGTGTGTGTGTGTGTGTGTGTGTGTGTGTGTGTGTGTGTGTGTGTGTGTGTGTGCATACAAACACACACACACACACATACACACACACACACACACACACACACACACACACACACACACACACACATATATATATATATGTGTGTGTGTGTGTGTGTGTGTTTATATTTGTATTTTGGGGTGCTTTGAAGTGTACCATGAGAAAGTTGTGCTCTAGATGTAGAAATGTAGATATGTAGTGATGTAAAAAATAAAACTGCTGTATAGAATGTATATATATATGTATGTATGTATGCATACATATATATATATATATATATATATATATATATATGTATGTATGTATGTATGCATATATATATATATATATATATATATATATATATATATATATATGTATGGATATATATACATATATATATACTTTATTATATATATATTTATATATATATTCATAGATATAAAAGTATATATATATATTTATATATATATTCATAGATATAAAAGTATAAATATATTTATATATATATTCATAGATATATGCATATGCATGGAGAGAGAGAGAGAGAGAGAGAGAGAGAGAGAGAGAGAGAGAGAGAGAGAGAGAGAGAGAGAGAGAGAGAGAGAGAGAGAGAGAGAGAGACCGGATATACAAATACATATAAAGCGTTTTTGTTGCATATATAAATGTACGCGTGCGTGCCTTTGCATGCATGCGCGCACGAATGAATGTTTTCATTTTTTTTTTACTTATAAAAAAATAGATAATGTATATATGCAAAACACTAGAAGATAATTATGGTCCCATCGCATATTTAGAATATTTAACTTACTCTTTCATTGTTCTATCCAGAAAAAAATATCAGGAAGATCCTTTGACAGAAGTACCGGATCAGATCATGTGACTATCGGATGACTGACAGACCGAGATATGTCTGTTGGGCTGGGGATTCACACCTTGCCATCACAGTCTTCAACCTAACACTTCAAGACTCAAACTAGTGCCTTCCAAGCGGGGACACATCCTATCCACTACTTTACAACAGACCTGATGTTTACCTCGAACTAGCATTTCACTTTGGTTTACCCTTACATAGATAATGAAAATGGCGATGGTAATAATAATGTTTGTAATTTGATAATGATAGTAATGATGGTGATAGCAGCAGCAACATTAATTTTAATGATAATGATAATCAAAGTTTTAATAATGCTAATATATGATACTAAATAATAATGGCGATAATGTCATTGATAATGACAACAACAATAGCAAAAATAGTATTAAGCAACAACTATGGTTATTACCATGGAAAAAACAAATAAATAAAACAAATAGTGAGTTTCCTTACACACGAATAGATTTGTGACGTTTGGTCTGCTTTTGTAACCACTCGCACAATGGGCACACACACACACACGCACACACACACACATATATCTCCATCTCTTTCTCGTGATATATATGCATGTATATATATATATATATATATATATATATATATATATATATATATATATATATATGTGTGTGTGTGTGTGTGTGTGTGTGTGTGTGTGTGTGTGTATGTATGTGTGTGTGTGTGTGTGTGTGTGTGTGTGTATGTGTGTGTGTGTGTGTGTATGTGTGTGTGTGTGTGTGTATTTGTATGTGTGTGT